AGTTCGCTAGAATTACAGCTACTACTGAGATGAGTTGTTTGTTTTCGGCTTTTATAAGCTTTATAATTAATTTCTCGAATATACTGGAAACATCTATAAATATCTGGATTTTTGTGGATGGCAACAGCAATTACGAGATATTTATTTATTAGGTATTAAATGCACGCGTTGTTCTATTTTTAACCTTCCAACGCAGCTGTCTTTTCAAAAATCGTCTGCGTTGCTAAGGCAACATAAAGCAAATCTAATTACAATTCTAAATAAAAAAAAACTAACTAAATATATAACTATGAAATCTGTAACAATATGAATTAAGTAATAATTAATAAGAAAGCAAAGTGCATGCACCAATATATCGTACAAAACTATGATTGGAAAACTGAGACCATGAGTTCGGCCACATTCGGTTATCGGGGGATGCGTACAAGTTCTGAGTGCACGTGTCCCCCAAAAGCCGAAGGTAGCTGAACGCAAGGCTACTCACATGCATTTGTAATTTAAGTAGTGTGTGAGTCAGCTCGCTGTGAGTAATCTAACAACACTGAATAAATTATCGTTAATTACTTAGCAGTAAACATTTCATTTTTTTCTTCGTCGATATGTTATTTTATTATTATATATTATTATTTGCAGATATATTGGCCGGGCCGCAAAAATATTTGTTGTGGGCCGCAAGTTTGACATCCTTGATTTAAAGGGCAAACCAAGATCTTTTCCCTCGAAATTTGACTTATTAGTTTCTGCTGAACTTCCACAGGTAAAAAGCAATAACATGAGTCACACCTATATTTGAACATGACAAGTCTTAAGATTTCAAGCTGTTTTGACAGTATAGTCAAACAGCTCTGCTGACTAAAAAAGAATGGCCCTGAAACGTTAATATTATTATTAGTGCCCGAGAATTCTGGATTAGTGTCTGAAGCCCAATGACTGAATTTCTAATTTGAATACTTAGAGTAAGAACAAATAGCTTCCATTAAGTACTAGCATGACTTATCACTGACAGACCATAAAGCTTAAAAAAAGTTGTATGATGAGACAACTTTATGTTCAATTTTGAAATATAGACAGTAAGAAAGCAATGCATTCTTCACCCACTTTTGTTTCAAGAATTGTTACAGAAGTGAAAGCTTAATGATTTGAGTTCATGCTTTTCAACAAAGCTGTAGATCAAAGTCAGAAAAAATATAACTATGACTAGAAATAAATGACAATGTAAAACTGAAGAAAATTTACGGAACTGCCATTGCTGGAGCAATATGCCTTTACTGAAATAATTACAGAAGAATAATTTCAGATATGTACTGCATAGTGAATGCAATAACCCTTAACTGAAATTTAATATGACAGTATTTTTAAATATGGATTGCCCAGTGAATACAGTAAACCATAAGAGAAATTTTCAAGGTTGAATGATTGACTTGCCCATACAAGAGATGCAACACCACTATTTCTAAAGAACGAACTGGAACAGATATAATTATATGCTGCAAATTCATTACATTAACCCCTTCCTATGCCCTTTACCTCAACGAAACTTGGACCCAAGTGTTATGGGTCAACTCATGGTAAACAAGCCAGACTGATGCTTGAGAACAGTCACAATATGCATGTGTGTGTCATTATGACAAACCCTCGAGGGCTATCTGCCTAAGGGAAGGGATGCCTTCGTGGAGGACTTTCTAAGGGAAACTGGCTCGTATACACGTCACACATGGGGAAAACCACGAAAATGCCCATGCAGCCAGCCCGTTCGTGGGATTAGAACTTTGGACCGAACTACCAGTGTTCAGCGACTTTACGGCTCGGCCATTGGTGGGCCAGTCATAATATGAGCTGAAACGTAATAGTCAGTTTTGCGCTATATTTCTGGCATGGAAGTAAACTTTAATCCTCTGCCTTTCGTAGATATTATTAATATATTATATTTTGTAATAAACAACAGTTTCAAAATTATATTTCATAAATAAACAACATTTCAAGTAAGTCAAATTTCATCCTTAGTGGAAGTAAACTTTAATCCTTCTGCCTTTTGCAGATATTACAAATGTATTATATTTTACCACATAATTTTAATAAATATTATATAATTTATATTATAAAGAATTGAGACTAACTTTTGAGGTGTACTGATAGGAACTATCGTTTGATTATCACCATGAAATTACGATGTTAATGTTTATGAGTCGGTCTAATGATGTTTATGTCTAGCCCAACATTCTTTTCACGAGCCTGGTTTGTTATGTTTATGTTTGGCCCTGCTTTCTGTTCACGAGCTTGGCTTGTGATGTTTATGTTTGGGAGAAAAATCTTTGTAACGAGTCAGACTCATTAAAGCACAGGAAAGGGTTAATTTGGAAAATGATTGCTTCTTGAATATAATAGCACCAAACATGAATATTGTTAAAACTCGTGGTATTCTAAATACACTTACACAAAGTATACATCCACGAACAAAGTTCCATTTCTATGATAAAGAAATAATGCGGTGGTGATTAACAAAAATTAATAATGCTGGAATTACATACTTTTTTTTTTTTACTTGAACATTACTTTCTTGGAAATGACACATGTTGGTTCACTTAAAAATGAAAATTTATTCCATTACTGCCAATATCTCTTGCATGTAAGTTACTCAAAAGAAGGATAATTAGTTCCTTCCATGGCACTACTGATGTTCCATTTGATGCTCAACACTTGTTTCTCAACAAAAGTGAAACACACTTCTAAGCTTTTCAAGCACTGCACACATTTCTTTTTATTATTTCACATCAAATGATGAATACACTTCTACTTCATCAAGGAGCACTACTGATAACCACAGACATTGCTTTTCAAAAGGTGTATAACATAGCCCTTCTTCCACAGCATATTTGAAGTACAAAATATTCCATTGTAAATATGGATACTCTTCTACTTCCCACAGCACGATCGGCAATTCAATAATTTTAAGTGACAATCACTCAAATATCACTAAACCCTTTCTTTACTTTACAGTGTACTTACAGTTTTACAGTGTCCTCCTGCTGAACGTTTTTGGCTTGGATAATATAAACACTGGTTAGGACACCATGGACAAAATTTAAAGTCCAATCATGTCTCAAAATAATCAGATTCCTACAATTTTAGTGGAAGTAATAATTTACTGCAGTATAGCTCAAGTTTTGATGCCTTACACAATAAATTAATGAAATTTAAACCATATCATGAACCAAATACATCGTTAAAAAAAAGGCTCAATGAGTTTCATTTAAATTTCTTAGTACCTTCACTGAGCTTGGAATGTACTGCAAAAAGAAGCCTAATCTCATGCTAATCATATCAACTCCCAGGCCTCCAACAAACTGGTAGAACAAGTAATAGTTGTGCAGACAAAAATTATCTAATGACTTCATCATATCGAAATGTGAAGCTTGTCCTAACACTATGTCATATACACAACTGTCATGTCAAGGAAAAACGGCATGTACTGCACAGCATGAAACATACTCAAGAATAGATAAATGTTGCAAGAGACAAATTTCAATTTTTCTGCATTGTAACTTATAAAGTACAAGAAATAAAGGTATTAACACCACCGCACTTACGCATTAATGCCACCGCAGCAGAAGTTGCACTGATGCGACAATAAAGAGCAATGCTGTTGTTCGTGTTCAGTTATCTTTTGGATTCCTTTTTGCCTTGTTGTTTGCTGATTTTTGACATCATTTTTTAGTGCTATGAAAATGTGTCTTTGGGATCTGCCAAACACAGAAGATGCAATTTTATTTTTTCAGGAGCAAAATATTTTATCAAAAAAAAAAAAAAAATGCACCAATTTGCACGATACAACTTTATAAGGTACATTTTGGTGATCAGTAAGTGGGACTTAGAAAATACAACTGGCTTGAAGGAAGCAAAATTCCATTTTGTTCAGCTTTGAGATTCATATACTGCTGGCGCGAGGAGTTGACATCGATTAAATTTTGTGAAAAGCAACTTGACTTATCGAACAAAACTGTTATAGATTGGAACAATTACATGCATGAATTATGTGTTTTGGATATGGAGAATAATCCAAACAAGAAGATAGGCAGATCAGATTGCATTGTGGAAATTGCTGACAGTTTAAGCGTAAAAATAATTGTGGTCGAGTATTACCCGAACAGTGGGTGTTTGTGGTATATGTAGAGAAACAAAAGATTTGTTTGTTGTCACTGTTCCTAATAGAACTGGCTCAACCCTTTTTAATAAAATTATTGAAAACATTGTAGATGGTAACACAAATTATTCTGACAGTTGGAAAGGTTACCAAACAAATAGAATAGGAAAAGAAGGATTCCTGCATGCTAATCATAAACACAATTTTATTGATCCTGATACAGGAGTTCATACAAGCAGTTGAGAGAATGTGTGGCAGTGTTAAATGGAGGAACAAGAGACATAGGGGGAGAGCGAGACATCATTCAGAATCTTATTTAGCAGAGTTCATAAGGCAACAGCATCAGGTCAAAGAAAATAGAGACTGTTTTGAATCTATGTTAAACTTCATATCGGCCCATTTTCCCCCGTAATCCAACTGACTACTTCGACTTTAAATAAAGTGCTTTATTTTTTGAAAGTGTTTTGATTTTAAATAAAGTGCTTTAATTTATGATTTGCCAAAAAAATTTTAGGTGTAGATTGCTAGCACTTTAACACCGCCAAATCTGCAGTTGCGGTGGTGTTAATACGTAAGTACCGAAATAAACTATATCTACATGAAATGAAAATTATAAAAGACTGATAAATATTTTAAAGAATATAACACACACATGTATACATATATAAGAAAGAGTAATGGCCTTCCTTATAAAATTTTAAAAAACTTTTTGCAGCTCACTGTGGAAAATTCTTGACCACTAAGGTCTATTTATGTTGTCTTGCTACTGTTTATATATATATATATAAAATATATATAATTACAAAACAATTCTTGTATATATATATATATATATATGTAAATAATAACATAAATCTACCGGAAAGATCGCCAGTAGTAGCAGATGCACCAAAGTAGTAGCCTGTAGGCAAACGCACACCTTTCACAGAAAAACATTCTCGCCAAGCATTTTTCCCTTCTATGTCTGTAGATACCTATGCAAAATTAAAGTACTATATAAGTCTAATCAAAAGCTTTTCTTCCAACACATAAATGAATATAAGGAAAAAATAAAATTCATTAAATACATAATATGGCCCAAAAATATTTATACTTATAAATGAATTTTATAAGCTAAATGAAAACCAACTTTAAACTTTAGCTGAGCAGAATTTGCTTTTGTTTAATGGTCTAATACAGTGGTTCTCAACCTGGTCTGTTCCATGCATCCCTTTTACCATTGCTAGATCATCCCCCCTTCTCCATAAAAGTCTGACCATATTCCCCATTAAACTAAGAATTTCCCATGTGGAAATCTTCCTTGTTGAGAATACCGGGTATAATTAAATATAAAACAGTTATTTTTCTATTTACTATTACTATTTAACTGATTACATCTTTTAACCTTTTCTGAAATATTTAAAGTATTTTGCTGAATTTAAATTTTAGATTGTGTCAAATCAAAACATGAAAGATTTTTCATTTCTGTTGTAATGTTAGTTTTACAAACGACAACACATGCTTAACCACTATTTAGCAAAATAAAGAATTCTGTAGCTGTAAGTTAAATTCCTGATATGAACACACTCATCATAAAAGGTGTTATGACCTACCTCCACTGCCACCGAGATATGGCGCTGGATAATCTTGCTAGTTTTTTTCTGTATTATAGTATATGTATAGTGAGTAGAAATAAACGTCTTGTCTGAATGGCGGCATTGATTTTTTATTGAGTGTAGAACACAATTTCCGCCCCCCTTCACAAAAGAGGTGAACATTTTTTTGGTGTCAGGAAGTGGAGTTCGGTGAAAATGTGGTGGTAATAATATGCATCATCAAATTTTGTGTGAAAAAATAGTGTGGTGATATGGGAATATGTGTTGCACGGAAATCGAAAGTGAGGATGATGGTTCCATTGTGTAGATTATGGTGAGTAGTTATTTTGGTTTGTTGAAATAATGTTTAGTGTTAAATTTTGTTTATTAGTGTTGTGTATTGAGGTGTTCCTACATGATATTTTGAATTGATAGTGTCTGTGTTGAGCTTGATGTGTTTGTTTTTGTGCTCATTTGTGTTCTAGTTGTCAATTCAAGGTTGTATTTTTCTTTGAATTAAGATGAGTCTTAATTCAAAGACGCTTAAGTCATTAAAAAAAGATGATTTGACGCTCGTGGCGGAGGAGTTGGGATTAGTAATTCTGAGTGGGGCGAAAACTGTTACTTTGAAAACTTTAATAGAAAGTTTAGAAGTTTATGCAAACGATGCTGAATTTGTGCAAAATGTTATTGATAATATTTTAGAGGAAAAGAAAATGCAAATTGAGAAACACAAATCAGAAAACGAAATTAGATTAGAGTTAGAAAAAATAAAACTTTCTCAGTTAGAGGCAGAATTAGCTTTCGCTAACACTAGGAAAGACTTGCTACAAAATCCAAATGTTGAGATGGACACCTCAAATCAAAATATGGAAAATTTAATTAAAAGTGTAAAAACTTTAACAATTCCTGTACCTACTAAAGCATAATCCTTTAATCTCTTTTTCCAATCAATTGAAAGGGCTTTTAGGACAAAAGTACCTGAAGATTTAAAAGCAGAAATCCTATTATATTTTAGGAGAGAAGGTCACTAATTTAATGGCATATGTAAAGGAAGAAGATATTAATAATTACGATAAACTAAAGTCCATGATTTTAAAGGCATTTCAGCCAACCCCTCAAGAGTGCTTAAATAATTTTCGTTCTATGCAAAAATTATCATCCGAGGACTTTGTACAGTTTGCATCAAGGTAAAGTGCAAATTTTGAATATTATTAGTTGAGAAATGTAAAAGATTTTAAATCGTTATGTCATCTTATGGTTTCAGATAAAATATTCAGTGAACTTGATCGTGAATTAAAGACCCACGTAGCAGTTAAACAGGGAGAGACATGGTTTGAAACCCAAACTTTAGGTCGTGAATGTGATATTTATTTGTCATCAAAAGGTAAACAGAAAACAGAATCCTTTTTTGCAAAATCATTTACTGGTAACGATAATATAAGAGGCGATGGAAATAATGCTAATAAACTTCATAATAATTACAAAAATATTTCTATTTACATATTATTATTACAAAAATATTTCTGGAGCAAAAGATCAAACATGTATTTCGTGTAAAACTAATCCAAACCACTCGATACAAAAGTTTCTTAATTTTACAAGGCTTTCAGAAAATGAGCATGTTGAAATTATTAAGTAATATAACCTTTGTTTCAAATGTTTTTCTTCAGAGCGTAATACGAAAAAGTGTACAGCCAGAAATTGTTTCTGTGCGAAAGCTCATCATTCTATGACACTTTTCCCTAAACAAAATAAACTCTTTCGAAAGTAGAGAACGGTGGCGCCGAACAAACTCAGTGCAATTCTTCAGTGTCAAGGTCAAGCCGAATACATAAATCATCTGTGCTGTTACTCACTTGGAGTACATACGTTAGCTCTGTTATAAATAAAACGAAATTCAATAAAATGATGCAAATTTTATGCGATAATGGCTCCAAAAGAAGTTGTTGTGCAAAGTCCCATGCAAATTAAAATCAATTAGAAAGGAAAGGCCGTCAGTTTTTTCTTTTGTCTCAGCAAAGCCTACAGAGAAATTATATGAAGCAGTAGAATTAAAATTATCTAGTAGATACAATACTAATCAGTGCATTCAAATTGAAGTGCTAGTGTTCAATACTATTACAGAGGCATCTGTTTCTGTTCGAAATGAAGGAGTACAAAATTTTATGCAGTCCCGCGGATTAGTCTTAGGCAATTGTTGTGACAGTAATATAAACATTGAGATATTAATTGGGGCAGATATGTTTTGGCAGATTATTGAAGCCTTTTCTTTCGAAAAACTAAACCAGGAAATTACTTGCGTGCCAACGATTTTCGGGTTTGCTTTACAGGGAAGTCAACATGTTTACAAGCCAAATGCTCTAAGACTGCAGTTTCAGAGAATTTTTGTGTAGCCACTTCAGATGTTCAGGTATTGTGAGAGTTTGATGCTTTAGGAATTAAAGAAGAAGAAGAGTTAAACGTAGTTGATAAAGCGTTGATAGATGAATTTGAGAAAAATTTTAAATTGGTGAATGAGAGATATGAAACTGATTTATTCGTTTCATATCTCTCGTCAGTTCGAATCCCAAACTCTTCACGTCACTAACTATTTGGGCACTTACAAAGTGAGAACCAGCTCCTACCATCCAAGTTCCAATGGAATTAATTTAGAAGACAAACAACAAAAATCAGCGTTATATTTTCAAATTTCACAGAAATTTACTCTGTGAAATTAAAAAATTTAACGCTGATTTTTGTTGTTTGTCTTCTAAATTAATATTTCTAATGGAGTTGTTGAGAGATTTTAGAGGCCTATGGGAGGCTGCTGTTAAATCCATGAAGTTTCACATGAGACGTGTTATAGGATCGCAGATACTCTCACAAGAATTTTAAATGTGTCTCGTGGAGATTGAAGCCATACTTAACTCTCGTCCTTTAGTGGCTGCTTCTGAGAACCCAAATGATTTTTCTGTCATTACACCGGGTCACTTTATTATCGGTTCCAAGTTAAAAGGTGTTCCTGAGCCTGATGTTACAAATGAGAAAATTCCCATCCGTGAACGGTGGAAATTAGTCACACACATTTCCCAATCATTTTGGAAATCGTGGTCAATGGACTAATTGACTCAGCTGCAAGTGCACAAGTGGAAACTTCCCAGTGGCGATTTACACGTGAATGAATGACTTAATGCTAATCAAGGATGAGAACTTGCCGCCACTTAAGTGGAAGATGGCAAAAGTAATTTGCACTTATAAGAAAACTGACCAAAGAGTAAGGTTAGTCAACTTGAAAACTGTGTCGGGTGAAATGAAACGCCCAATACATAAACTGGTCAGATTTCCTATAAATGACTGATTGATTTACTTTTTGCATGGTTTATAATTATATTTACAGTTTGTAATTTTTATGTGTTGCATTTATATTTCAGTTACATTTCTTGTTAAGCTGATGACTGGGTTATGGGGACCCAGTGTGTTATGACCTTCCACTGCCACCAAGAGATGGCACTGGATAATCTTGCTAGTTTTTTCTGTATTATAGTATATGTATAGTGAGTAGGAATAAATGTTTTGTCTGAATGACAGCATTGATTTTTTATTGAGTGTGGAACCCAATTTCCACCCCCCTTCACAAAAGAGATGAACAGTCTTGGAAAACCCAGGTGATAAAATTTCATTTTTTATCATTATATTGCCTTTATCTTCTTACCCACATCTCTCAGTCTAGCTTAAAAATTTGATGGTTTCCAAGAAAATTAAATTTTGCATTCTCAGGAAAAATATTCAATAATGTTTAAATTATGGCTTGATTTTAGTATTAAAATTACTCTGTCACTTATCCTTTTTACTTTAAGGCTAAAACTTTTACACTGCAGTGTTTGAAATTAGTGATAAATACCATGAGTTTATACATTCTGGAGAGCGTAGCAATAAGTCTGGATTATCAGCAAAATTACAAATTCATAGCTTCACTTTTATACTACTTGACATTTCTAAAACTTCTTGTATACAGTACAATGTACTCACGGTCAATACATCCTTTTCATATCTGACAGATATGTGTGTGTCATGGTCAGAATTTCGAAATTTTGCATCACAACCTGCAAGCTCGGTGTGAGTTCCATCTCTGTCATGATCATAATGTAGTGTTCCATTGTTCACCATAGCTGATATGTAAGGATGTCCATGCTAAAAGAAAAAAAAATATATTATTATAAAATGTGTGCTGAAATCCACTCGCATCAAAACAGAAATGAAAAAATATATAAAAAAATTAGTCATAATTTTGCATTTACTTACAAATTGTTTCAACACTTGAAATTTTAAGTAACTAGATTGTAAAAAAATGCTTTTTTTTTTTTTTTTTTTAGTTGAGAACTCATAAATAAAACAATTGATGCTTTATTCAAGTATGATATCAATAAAATGCTTTATTTTCATTTTGATCAATGATTGATTTAGTTTTGATCTATGATTCAAGTTGAACCAAGCTGAAATGAATCTTTTAAGCACAGAAAAAAATCTATATGAATTTAAATTGAATGATGCAAGATAAGTCTGACAACATTATCCTGACCAGATTTCCCTGAAGCCAAAAATGGAACATGATAATAAAAATTTTCCGAAAAAGATAAATTACAAAGTTTACTTTGTTGACAGCAACTCAGTTTTTCAAAGAGGTTTTGAATTTTAGCCAAACGTCTTGCTACTGACAAAGTGATGAGATTATTTCAAAAACTGTTAACTATAAATATAATTTGATTATTAGCTTTATGCTTTGAAAAACATTGTTCTGGAAACAGATAAACTTTCATATTATTTTGTATCAATTTTAGATTTACTCTAAAATTACTCTTGAGAATTCTTTTCAGGTTGCTACGTATCTCTTTTGAGCATATTTCTCCGAACAATTTGCTACTAGATCTCTCTCATGAATTACTCCTACCTTCAACATCAGAGCATATTATAGTAAAAATTATAGTCAGCTTCATATTCTTCCAATCTGCAACAAGTTTAATTATTTCCCCAAGAATTCATTTTGAAAAAAATCTAAACATTCTTCCACAAGTAAACTTTCCAAGTCGATCACATGAATTCTAAAAAGATATATTTGTAAGAAAAATTACTGAAGCTGTTCCTACGCTGATCCCATATATTCTAAAATTACTCTAGCATTTTCAGGAACCTATGGTGGAGTGAGACAATATACTAAAATCCAGGACTCACTGCACAGTAGAAGGCACCTAGTCACCTTAGGGAACAAACAGATATCAATCAAACTCAGCATTACAGATGGCAGAAATGAGTACACATACAGATTCCAGTCCATAAAGAAAGATAGAAATTGAATTCAAGAAACCATTCCAAAAGTAATAATGATCCATGTAACTGCTATTTTCACGACCGGCTTTGATAAGACAGTTCGTTATATATAATCATGATAATAATACATCAGCAACCCATATTTTAATTGACACTGGAGCAGAAATATCATTATCCCACCATCGCCATCAGAAAAAGGATCTGTGTCTAAGCTCAACCTGTTTGAAGCTAATGGTACAACAATCAAAACACACGGTCAAAAATTGTTGGAAATGGATTTGGGCCTGTGCAGATCTTTCAAGTGGCCTTTCATAATTGCAGATGTCAATGAAACATATCACTGGAACAAACTTTCTATCTCATTTTAACTTATTAGTCGACAGTTAAAACAGGAAATTAATCCATGGTACCACCTCACGAACAAATAAAGGTACTTTATGTAACAATAGCATCACTCCTAAATTGATTTCTAACACTTTTCAAAACCAAATAAAGCCATTTTAAATAGATTTCCTAACTTACTTAAACCGAACAAAATTAAAAAACATGATGTGCAGCATTTCATAAAAACCAAATGAAACCTCATATGTTCCAAAATCAGAAGATTTTCTCAAGAAAAGTTGATTGCTGCTTAAAAAGGAATTCGATTATATGCTTCAAGTTCTCTGTATACCATCCTAAAGTACGTGGTCAAGCCCATTACATCTCACTTTAAAAAATCCAGTGACTGCAGATCATGTGGTGACCACCATGCATTAAATGTGAGCACTTACCCAGTAACATTTCTAATGGACTGCACAAATATTTTGCATGGAAAAACAATGTTTCCAACCATAGATTTAATAAAGGCCTACCAACAGATCCCTATTCATGAAGCTGATATTCTGCCATCATAACACTTTTCAAATTTTTTGAATTTCCTTATCTGACATCTGCTCTATGCAACACTGCTTAAACCTTACAAAGGTTTATGAACACCATGCTGAGTGGACTAGACTTTTATGTTCTACAGTCTCGATGACATTTTCATTGGTTCTCCGAACAGAGAAACACACAAAAAACATCTTGAATTAAGTCTTTAAAAGGCTAAATAACTACAGACTAAGCACAAAACTTGAAAAATGTAAATTTTGCCTGAGAAAAGTTGAATTTTTAGGTTATGAAATATCAACGAAAGGAATACATCCTTTTCCATTGAAAGTGGATATAATTAAACAATAGCCTTAACCAGAATCCTTCACAAGATTATGCAGAGTTTTAGGACTAGTGAACTTTTACCACCATCGCTTCATCTTTAAATCTTGCTTAAAGGAGTGAAGCAAGTGAATCATCACAATCTTGCTTAAAGGAGTGAAGAAAAACAGTAAGAAAAATCTTTATAATTAGGACTGAAGATAACCAGAATGCTTTTACTGATATAAAAAGCACATTGTGCAACTCAACATTAAGTTCACCCTAATCAGAAGACACAGATCACTATAACAGGTACATTTGTTTCCAACACAGACATGGTTATCCATCAACTATATGATGGTGAGAAACAATAGCTAAGCTTTTTCTCTTCATCTCTAACATCAGTGCAGAGAAACTACAGTGTTTATGATAGATAATTACTTGCAATCTACCTAGCCATAAAGGCCTTTTAAACACATTCTGTAAGGATGATGATCATTTATTATCTTCACTGATCATAAACCTACCATCTTTGTCTTCCAGCAGAATTTAGATACAGCCTCTTTAAGACAAGTCCACCATTCACTACAGACATATGTACATCACTACATTCACTACAGATATATGTATATTTCTAGACAAGAAAACATCATAGCAGACATATCCATAATTTGAAACTTTTGCTACTCCAGCTCCAACTGATTATACAGTTATTGCAGATTACCAGAAGGATGAAGACTTCCAAGCTTCTTAAATCAAATTCCAGTTTCAAAATAGTATAAATTCCTAGCAATAGAAAAATGTACTGTGATACCTCCACTAATTTTAACTGGCCATAACATTCCCAAAGAATTTCACGAAAGAATATTTTTTTTCATATATAATTTATCCCAGCTTGGAATTCACGCAACAATGAAGCTGGTGACAAAAAGACTCATCTGACCTGGAATAAACAAAGACTGTCATCGGTGGACTACAGCATGCTCGGCATGACAACAAGCCACAGTTCATAAATATACCCACGCTACACCTGCTGAATTCAAAGCTCCAAATGAACATTTCAAGCACCTTAAACATCCACATTGTTGGCATTTACCATCTTGCAAAGGTTTTCAGTATCTTCTTATTATGATCGATAGATTTACTCAGTGGATTGAAGCTGTTCCTTTGGAAGACCAAAACTGCAGATTCTATTATAAGTGCCCTTATCCCAATTTGGATTTCCAGACTTGGAATACCAGAGAAGATAACTTCTGACCAAGGTACACAGTTTGAAAGCCAAATCTTCTAATACTCGAACAAATACTTAGGTTTTTTTAAAGCTAACGCCACCATAACTTATCACCCATAACCTAATGGTTTAATTGAATGCCAACAACAAACTTTGAAACACAGCCTGAAATCCCACCTTCAGACGACAAATTCTTGAACTGATGTTCTGCCTTTAGCATTCGATCCGCCACTAAAGAAGATAAAATAAATCTTGTTAGATAAAATAAAAAAGTTCTGCTGAACTTGCGTATGGCATACCTGCCAGAATTTCCAATAAATATCACACAGAGAAGCATTCAAATTTCACTCAAAAATCACACAGCCACATCCATAATCTGATATCAACTCTAACAACTAGACATGGAAAAAAAAAGTTTTCATACAAGGACTTAGCAAAGTGTTCACATGGATTTATATCTCTACATATGATGAAAGAAAGAGTCTGTCTGTATTTGTGTGTCTTTCGTTCGCGCTGCGCGTAAGCTAATAGACCCATGGCTACAAAATTTGGTACAGTGCATCTAGACAAGAGCCAGTGCACCTCAAAGCGATTTTTAGAAATTCGAATTCGAATTTTATTTATTTTATGTTTTGTGACGAAATTGTGTCATTTTGAGACATAATGGGCTATAGGAAAGCGAGAGTTTACTCTACACATTCCATTTTCACATCGTCATGAAACGGAGGCACTAAATTTCGTGTTTCAATAAATTGATTAAATACGAATTTATTTAACAAAGGGAGCTTAACACCTTTCCAACAAGATTTTTTCTAAAAAAAAGTTTATTTTTTAAAATGTAAAGTTTATTTTTCTTTGATTTTGGGACACGTTAAACTTTCATCCTTGTGACTGCTTTTACAAAAATAATTTTGGAAAAATAATATTTTGTATTTTTAAAATTTTTTTTAAATGAAGCTTCCAAGTACACTTCTCACATCTTTAAAAATGTGATTTTGGCAACAATTTTCCTGTCTTATTATTGTTGAGATTTTTGATGAAATTGCATCATTTCGAATAATTTCATTCTTTTAGAAATATGGCTTTGGCAAAAATTTTTGATCGTATTTCTTATGTCACTGTTTTTAAGAGATTGGCATATTTCATTGTCATTTATATTTATTATATATATATATATAATACATTTTTATTTTTATTGATTTTTTTTTTTTTTTTTTTTTTTTTTTTTTTTTGTTTATAAAGTTGTTCTGCAGAGTAAAATTCTGCATGGAATTTTATGTTTTTTGAGTTGCTTTCATGTTATTTTTTGCTTATTCCACTGTTTGTAAGATACTGAAAAGTTTTGCATGACTTTTTTTTCTTCTAAGGAAAGTTGGTTAATTTTTTTATTAGGATAATTAATATTTGTATTAAGGGATATAGCTTATTTCAATGTAATTTTTTTCTCTTGAAAATATAAGAT